CAGCTTTCCTGAAAACAAAAATTAATGGCACAGAGCAGTTTGCTGTATGACTCTGCCACATACTTGATTTCAGCAGTGGTGCTCTGTGTCACTTATTAACTACTACAGTAGAAAATGTGATGAAGTGGGAATGATTGCAATGTAACACCATTTTTGTCAGAATTCTAACATTTTCAGCAGCTAAGTCTGACATAAATGCATCTGGATCAAGATACAAAGAATCATTTTGTGTTCAACAAGCAACAGCTTGACTCTGATGAATGTGGTTTAAAACATCTGTTTTTACAGAATAGATTTTAATTTCTCAAATAATTGTAAAGTTCAAAAGACAAAATTTTCCTTTTAGGAGAAAATGCTTTCTAACATGTCGTTATAATGAATCACTTCCATCTATTTGCACTGCATTTTCAACCGTAACTAAAATTGATATAAAGTTTAGGCACTCTGCTAAAAGTAAAACAAAAATAAGAATCATGGCACCTAAGATACAAAAGCTGTATTAAAGGGGAAATCTTTTTAAATATGTTGACATTCTAATGTAAATTTAAAACCTCTGCTGACTCACAACGCTTCCAGTGATATCAGTGATAAGCAAGAACAGAATTTACATCTGAGTGGTTTAAGTAGCTCAAACTTGTCTACTTATCTTAATCAAAAGGTCATGAAAAATGACCTCCAAAACCATGCAACTGAAATGGGTACTGAATGACTTTTAGCAGAACTGTAACAGATTACAATTCAACTAATTACACAAGCTATATAATATTTTGCTATTTTGTAGAAATAAATGCTTGTAAAAGCATTCACTCATTAATTTCTCAGCAAGATTTATGAAATATAGGGTTTGAATGGTGCACACAGCATCTACAGTTTGAATAACTCTACTTATAACTTAACTAAATAACTTAACTGAATTAGTCAGTGGGACCCCACTGAAATGATTGAGCCTACCAAAACTCACTTGAATTTGCTGAAGGTTCACAGTGTAGACAAATGAGAACAGTTTCATGAGCTATCACATCGCTGCTGTGAAGTTGAAAGTTACTGATGAAAATTATTCATGTATTTTTGTGGGTTTTAAATACTGAATAAATTATCATAGGCTTCCTTTTAAGTGCCTTGATAGTTTCCTTTTTCATACCACAATACTCGAGACACAGTGACACTAGGTGAAATGCATCTCGACTGACAGAATATGTATTACCTGCCTTGTGAGCCATTTGTAGGGTTTTTTAGGTGGGAGGTTTTGAGAGGCAGGCTTACCCCAACAGCAGGAGAAATGTTCATAGGAAGGCTGTTTCTGAGTGGCAGTGGCTTTCTTGCCTTAAATGCTTCAGATGGAGTTGGCTGTGCTAGCATTCAACTGTGGGAAGAAAATTAAGGATTGAGCTCCCAGTATGAGTGGGAAGTGCTTCATCAGCTGGAGCTTTGGGCTTTGCCCCTTTTAGCTAGAGCTGTTGGCTTTGCCTCTCTCCTGATTTTAAACATAAGCCTAGGAATGGGATGAACTGTACCCTGAGACACCTAGCATTGTTCCAGAGGACTGAAAAGTGTTCAGGCATAAGCTCTTTGCACAGCCTCCCCAACCACTGGTCCTCCCTCTTGCATCCACACTGCAACTGGAGCTATGGTTTTCATGTCTCTCCTAACCCTGGGCTGAGCTTTAGTCCTAGGCTTTCTAGCATGGCCCAGAAGTAACAATTTTGGGAAGGTAATTCTTTCCCACCCTTTCAGGGGAGGCAGGTGTTGCTACAAAAATGGGGTACTGGAAAGAATCTACCTGTGTTGTAGGCCGACCTGCAGACTGTGTTGAGAAGGTCAAGCTGCCCTTCCTCCTTTTGTGAGAGGTGTACCCTTGAAGAAGTTACAATTTATACATAATTTGTTTTGAATCATTGCAGTAAGAAAGAACACTATGCCCACATCTATTTCAACAGCAGACATTTTACTGACCCTTCTGGGTGCAGGACATGGCCAAATGCTATCATTGAAAAGTAATTAATTAAAATAGACAAAACATGACTAAAACGTCTAAAATGCTGCCATGAACGATTGTGTTTGTATGTATAGAAATGCAGTGGGAGAGCCATGCAGACAAGAATTGAAATTTTGTGGTGATGAAACCACCATAAATAGTTTCAAAGCCAATGCTTTTTGCTCCCATGTTCTTAAATCTGAAAGCATTCCCATTTCTAGTCACACTACCATTAAATGCCAGTTTATATGGAAAGAAGGAAACCCCTCAATCTATGCTCCATAAGTAGATGCCCCTTAAAACAAACGCTCACATAAACAAAAAATGAACTATATTTGGACTTTAGGTTTTCAAACACGCTAAAGTACTGCAATCAACCAGATGTTCTTGTTGATGGGTCTGCAGCTATTGATTTGCGCTCCTTCTCATATTAGCAACTGAAAGCTGATTCATATTCTCCCAGAATATAAATTTTAAAGAAAATAATTCTCCAGCTGAATTTACATAATTGAAGAGATTCGAGCAGTGTCAGATAGCACACAGCAAGTAGCTTTTGCAAGTTGTAGTTAAATATAAACCTTTTCTTTCACTGTAAACTGGAAGATGCAACCTCTAAAACCCCAAATGTAAGGATGAATTTTCTGAGAAAAGTTTGCGTGACATCCCCAAGTGCTCCAACATCAAGCTAGAAGACTCATATACAGCAATAATCCTAAGAATGGGAAGATCATTTGCAAAGGCTGCTCAGTAAATTCATTTCTATACTAGAACATAAATACAAAAAGTCCTCCAAAGTCACAAAGAGTATCATTAAATTTATGTGTAGGTGTGTATATATACATATATATGTATTCACCATCTGCTTTTTAGTAACAGAAGAAAAGGAAACATCTTGCTTACGGGTCATGCAAAATTGTGCATGTGCTAAACGTAATGTGTCTAGGTGTATATTGATTGGAGGTGATGACTGATATGAGGAAAATCATATATTCAGAGAGGCTACATGTATGTGGTAGTAATAAGGGGCATAGGGATAAACATATTTATTCTCTATAGCTAGAGAGAATAAATTCCTGCTGATGGGTTATCACAAATTGATGGTAATGCTGTGTGTATCTGCGTATTAAAGTGGTGGGTAGTGATAATATGTATACTGGTGATGGTGGGCAGACAGTGATAGCAAGATGTGCAAACTGTAGGAGGTGATGGGTATGCATGGTAAAATGAGTAGGTTGTAAGGATGTGTGTGTGATGCTGAGCATAGTGATGCAGTAGGGAGTATATAGCAGTATATGCACTGTGGTGAGATTTATGCCGTGTGGACCTGCTATTCATGACAAAAGTAGGTGACAGTTTACATGAAGAGGCAGATTGGTTTCCATACAGGTGTGATATGCTCAGACATGAGTGGCTACAGCCAATAAGCAATTACTGAGTATTTAACATGTATGGCTGTGTTGAAGGAGCGTTGATGCAGTGAGCAAGTGTGAGGGTGTGTGTATTAGTAACTATGTGTAGTTAATAGACAATTGGCAGGTGGTGGTGGTATATGGAAACTGATTATGTTTAAGTATATAAAGACAGACTGTATACTTGGAGCAGTAACATATAGGGAGATGAGAGACATATTGCCCAGAAGGAGAGGTGTATGCGAAAGTCATACACTGGAAAAAAACACAAACCAAAACAGAACCAAAACCACATGCAAAAACGTATGCTTGCCAGAATATAGAGCAGAGTACAGAGATAAAGTATTAGGACTATCTGCTGGCATTCATGTGTGTTCGAAGCCGGTGGTGTGTATGAGGAGTGTAATACAGTGGTGTCTGCCTGCAGACTGAGTAGCTATCAGTGCATATGACTGTGTTGGTTTCAGAGCAGGGAGTGTATACAAAATAGCATGGAAGGGTCAGTGTGTGTAGAATCAGGTTTGGGATGTACAGGTGTAGCGTGGGATGTCATTTATGTATCAATGGCTATGTATCTGTAGAAGTAGTGTAAGAATGGAGATGATGTCAATGGTTTGTGTCACTGTATAGTGCTAAGGAGGGTTTATAGACTGATCGTGCCTGGATACAATCCTATCAGGGACATGCCTACGTTTTAAGTACAATATTAAGAGAAGGGGCTGTTGGAGCACTGGTAATGTGATGATTGAGCTTAAAGTGATCCTGTGAGTGGAAGCAGTATCTGAGGGGACAGAAGAGTGGACAGATGGTGTGTTTGCATAGCAGCATAGCTAGGATGGTCTTGGCACTGTCATGGTGAAAATAGTGATGGTGAGCTGTAGCATTCAAACTGGTGCCTGCACTCTTGGATGCAATGAACAAAGGTAGAGCATGTGCTGGGATGTCAGGTAATGTGTGTATCTGCACATTAAAGTGGTGGGTATGTTTCAGAACAAAACATGTGGAGAGGGGCACTGAAGTATTGTATGCTGCAAGTGTGTGATGCCTGATGGTGGTGGGACAGGACAAGGCAGGACACAAGGGTATTGCCGTTTTCAGGCAGTGCAGTGCACTCAGGGTTGAAGGTTATGTGACTGGTCATAGTGCCATGCCTAGTGCTAGTGCCATGGGGTGGGCAATGTGCAGTGGGAGGTGAGGGTGACAGCAGCTGTGCAGGTATGAGGCAACCCTGCCCAGGTAACACTTCCCACCCGCCAATGACCCCGGCTTTTTAACTGAAGAAGAAAGGCTGGTCCCTTTGCCTGGGGTGCCCCTGCCCGGACCCAGGTGCCATGGGGGGCGGAAGGGGGGCAGCGCAGAATGGAGGGGGAGGAGAGGATGCTGGGAGGGAAGGGGGAAGTGCACGGTGGGGGAAACAATACTGGACGGGGAGAGCGAGGGGATGAGGGTGTGCGGTGCATTGCGAGGTGGGGGCAGCGGGGACATGGGGAGGCTGCACTGCCAGAGCAGAGAACGGCCGGAGGGCGTGATGGGAGGCGGGCGGGAGTGAGCTGGGAGGGACACCCACTTACGTCTCCTCCAGCATTTTTTTTCTCCTCTTTCCCTCCTCCTTTTAGTGGCTGGTGACGAGCCGCTGCCTATTAATCATTCACCAGCCGGAGAGCTGCGATTACCGCCACTCGGAGCGAGCGGCGCCGGCAGCCGCCTCCTTCCCGCTGCTGGTGCTGGGACCCGCCGAGCCGGGAGCCCCTCCGGGATGCAGCACCGGGCCGGCGGCGGGCGCCTGCTGCTGTGAGCCGGCGGCGGGGAGCTCCGGGCAGAGGATGCTCCCCAATGGCACCTGCACCAGGCTTCCGGGCGGTGCAGGCAGCGGCAGCGGCGGCGGAGCCGGCAGCGCCTCGGAGGAGGCTGCGGCGGGGGGCATGGACTCGGGCGGCAGGAACTCCTCCGGCGCCCCGAACAGCACCCTGAGTGAGTCTCAGGGCAGCGCTATCCTCATCTCATTCATCTACTCCGTGGTGTGCTTGGTCGGGCTGTGCGGCAACTCCATGGTCATCTATGTGATCCTACGCTATGCCAAGATGAAGACGGCCACCAACATCTACATCCTCAATTTAGCCATCGCAGATGAGCTGCTGATGCTCAGCGTCCCCTTTCTGGTCACCTCCACCCTGCTGCACCACTGGCCCTTCGGCTCACTGCTCTGCCGCCTGGTGCTCAGTGTGGATGCCATCAACATGTTCACCAGCATCTATTGCCTGACTGTGCTCAGTGTGGACCGCTACATTGCCGTAGTGCACCCCATCAAGGCAGCTAGGTACCGCCGTCCCACTGTGGCTAAAATGGTCAATCTGGGTGTCTGGGTGCTTTCCATCCTCATCATCCTGCCCATCATCATCTTCTCCAACACAGCAGCCAACAGTGATGGAACAGTGGCTTGCAACATGCTCATGCCAGAGCCCACACAGAGGTGGTTGGTGGTCTTTGTAGTCTACACCTTTCTGATGGGCTTCTTGCTACCTGTGGTGGCCATCTGTCTCTGCTACATCCTCATCATTGCCAAGATGCGCATGGTGGCCCTGAAGGCTGGCTGGCAGCAACGCAAACGCTCGGAGCGCAAGATCACTCTCATGGTCATGATGGTGGTGATGGTCTTTGTCATCTGCTGGATGCCCTTCTACATTGTGCAGCTGGTCAATGTCTTTGTAGAGCAGGATGATGCCACCATCAGCCAGCTTTCTGTCATCTTGGGTTATGCCAACAGCTGTGCCAACCCCATCCTCTATGGCTTTCTCTCGGACAATTTCAAGCGATCCTTCCAGCGGCTGCTCTGCCTCAGTTGGATGGACAATGCTGCAGAGGAACCCATCGACTACTATGCCACTGCCCTCAAGAGCAGAGCATACAGCATGGAGGACTTTCCCCCAGACAACTTGGAGTCAGGGAGCATGTACAGGAATGGCACTTGCACCTCCAGGATTACCACCCTCTGAGGAAGCATTCCTGAACCCCTACTCCCCTACTGCCCCCAGCAGGAGGGTGAGAAAGTCCAGGGCTGTGGCATGGGGGAGCTGGGAGGGAGGGGATTTTTGTCCTGCCCAACAACAGCAGTGTTTGACAGAAGAAGTGAAGAAAACCCCACATCCTAGATCTGCTGCCCCGTCCCTGACCCCTATCTGCCTCCCTTGAGAGCAGGTGCATTTGCTGTTGCTTTGACACCCACTTAACAAATTGCCACACTCATGGGTCGTCTTAGGGTCTGTCAGCCAAGCTCTGCTACTCTTCTCTGTCTGATTAGTGGCTGTAAGGGTCCTACAACTATTCTGCCTCACCTTTTGTACAGGTTGCCAGTGGGACCCCCAGGCCACTGAGTCAAGCCTGCCTCAGTCAAGCCCCACCATTCAGGCTCAGACTCCCCCTGACTGAAAGCGACCCTGCTCAGAATGTCAGTGTACACCTTCTCTTCAGAGAGTAGAAATGCTGGGGAAAAGTCCCCCCCCAACACACCTTGCCCTCCCCCAGGAAGGAGCGAGTAGCCTCTCTCTGTCCCACCCCCTGCCCCAGGAATAAAAAAGGAAGTAGGGAGCAAAAAGGCCCCAAGAAAAGAAGTGGTACAGTCATGGAGCTGTCTTCTGCTTTGCAGACAGCTTCACCTCACTGGGGCTCTGTCTGTCTGTGCTATGTTCAGAGGAAGCAGGCCAGAAAAGGTCTTTGGAAAAAGAATCTGATCATTGCTGTGCTTCAGAGCTGCACAGCAGCTTGCTGATAAAGGGAGATAAACAGTTCTGTGACTCACAGGGAGTGGAGCACGGAGCAGGGAGTTGGGGGTAGTGCTGAGCTGAGAAATGTTTGAATGTGTCCATATATATGATAAAGTGTGCTAATAATAAAGTTTAAAGGGAGCGCTAAACTGTGAAGCTACTGTCTTGCACCTGCTCCATCAGCTGTGAAACAGCAGTGAAGGGAGCTCAGATGGTTTTGAATGTCCTGGGTGGCTGCAAAGTCACTCTAGCCTACATGGAAAAAAAAGGGATTATTTTCAAAATCTCCATCAGGCTCTGAAATATATACTTGACAAAAAAGTAGCTGTTTGAGAATAGCTATTACCCTAGCTCCAGTTTCTTCTGTTGCACTAAAAAAAAAACCCATAAAATGGGTTTCATATGTTGCCAATGTAATATACTGGCCCAGAGCTTCTTAATGTTTCATTTATGAGAATTTATGGGTTTAGTGTGTGCCAGATGTCTTTTTGTTTGATTTTTCTATTTGATTCTTGTCACTGTGTTGTGAATGTGTTTCTCTGAAGCAATCTGTACTGTGTACTTATGTCTGTGGTGGCTACTCGCAAGGTTGCATTTAAAATGGGTGATGTTCAAAAAGGCTCCTTTTCAGATAAAAAGGTTGTCACTTTTTCTAACTCTTTCATCTACACTGTCTCCCCCACAAAAATTCTCTCTCTTGAGTTTTCTCTCTTCCCTTCTTATGACAGAACAATTTTCATATACATGAATGAAGCTTTCTTGTTTGATAAATGACAGCTGATTAAACAAACCCTTCTATCCATGATCCCTCTTATCCCAAGCATAAGAATCGGTACAGGACTGTGTTGAAATAATGAGCTATGTTTTTTGCTTTCTACCACCTATGTTAACAGTGTCACACAGTGACAGGTGTGCTGGTAGCTGTGATAAACCACTTCTCTAGCACAATACTGTAGTTGTATTCATTATAACTACTGGCAATCTGAAGCAAGGGATTGGAAAAAATCTCTAGTAGCAGCATACCTGTAGCATTGTACTGGTAACTACAGTGCTTAAGTACAGTGTTAAGTGTAAGGTCGACAATTAAAGCATCTAGCATTTTCGGTGGTGGACTTACTACAGGTTTTTGTTAAATTATACTGCTTAACTTTTCTCAGCAGCAAAAAGCAGGATTCTACTTTGTACATTTCTTTCACCAAAAATTAGATACTGTTAAATGAATGTATAAATTTAGTATTTCAAAGTTGTCTGATTCAAAGGCCATTGAAATGAGAGATAAAAAAACTAATTCATTTCCATGGACTGTGAGTCAGCTCCTTTTAGTTTAAAAATTGCTAATGTGGAAGCTGTTACATCCTTATTAAAATATTTTGTGAAAAGCTTTTACAATTGTACAGTTTCTTTTCTTTTACTTCCCAGTGGACCTCATTCAATGAAAACATGTAAATATTAATTTTGATAATGGTTTACATGCACATGTGGGAGAAAAAAAAGGATAAAATATCTTTATAAGCTTATTTAACTTTTCCAAACATCTGTGAAAACAGTAAAATGACCCAGGATTCCACACCATGCTATTTGTAGAGCTTCACTTAAAATCTCACTCACAATCTCTTAAAAATTATATAAATCTCATAATCTTATGTGGTCTTTTTCACACAGGCGTATTGTTATGTATGGTCAGATTAAATAGAGAGTCAGTCTACTTTCTACTGTTGGATTTGTTTAATACCTGACACAATGAAGCAAAAGTTAGAAAGCAATGACTGATACCCAGTACTCAGCTCTGATGGAGAGTTGAGTCTGGTTTTGTTTATTTTAATTTTATTTTACTTTGCCTTTAAACAAAGCTGTGGTGGACGCCTGCACACCTACCTGTGCATTTTAATTCTTCATTTTCAGTTGTTCCAGGCAGACGGCCAGGGTGATGTTCAGAGTGGGAAGGGCAGGCGAGGGCTGCCGCGGGGCCGGTGGTGCCTCGGTAGATGGCAGGCTTGCCCTCCGCTGCGTACAGCCAGCAGCGCCTCTGGTATTACCGGCTAAAACACCTTGTGTCGCTTCAGTTGGAAACAAAATCTTTTTATCTTAAACTAACAGTTCTTCCTGCTGTTTTTCACCCTTTAGTTTGACTGTGGTTAGTTTAGTTTGACTGTGGCAGTGGGAGAGGTGTTCAACAGCTGTAAATCACTCTTAATTTGCTCTGGAAGAAAAAGCGAGTTCATTCTGTGTTATTATTCTACATAACAGAACGTAACTACCAGAAAGAAAGAAAAAAAACCAAAAACAAAACAAACAAACAAACAAACAAACAAACAAACAGAAAACAAACATAGCTCTTTTTAATGCTTTCCAAATTGCAAATAAGAGTCTCCAGATTTCATATGGAAATGATCTGAAGTAATGCTTAATTCACTAAAAAATCACTACCCAGAGGTGGCGTAGCTCTGAACAGTATCTAGTCAATGCATTGGACTGTTTCCCGTGGTATGCACAAGAGAGAATGTTCTTCACATGGAACACAGATAAGGTACCTCTGCAGCATTTTCCCACTCAAGGGAGGGTACACAGGAAATTACTCTCCTTTCTCACCAGGCTTCCCAGCACAGTAGTAAAGAAACATCTCATAATCCTGGGGCTGACTGCTGCGTGCAGCTAGTGGGCTTGAACCAGACTGATTGTAGATGCACTTTATACCTGGGCTGTGGATGAAAAAGTGAGGCCACATGCAGATCCTCTGCCTCTTGAGGTTGTCCCTACAGCAGAAAACATCACACAGTAAATGTTTTCTTTGCATTCAGCATTTAAAGTACCCATCTGATTTCTTCTTAGAGAAGGAGAATAATATTTCTGAATATGACATAAGCATTTCTGAAATGCCAGGTTTCCAGCGAATCGGAATTAAAAAAAAAAAAAAAAAAGGCTTTCTGGTTGTTCCTGAAAAACTAAAAGTCTGCTTTTCAAATGTACGTAGCACATTCTATTAACACTGTGACCATACATTGTATTTTAAGTGGTTTCCAAAAATCAGCATTCT